AGGCAGTGCTAGCAGATGGGAGGCAAGTTGCTGTCAAGAGGGCAAACGCTGCCACAATAATCCACGGTAACAGTCGTGATTTTGAGATGGAACTTGAAATCCTTTGCAATGTGAGACATTGCAATATCGTGAATTTGATAGGTTATTGTTCAGAGATGGGGGAGAGGCTGCTTGTTTATGAATATATGCCCCATGGTACACTGCATGACCACCTTCATGGAGGGCTTTCTCCTCTGAGTTGGAGCCTTCGTTTGAAGATCGCGTTGCAGGCTGCAAGGGGACTTGAGTACCTTCACAAGGAAGTTGCGCCTCCAATTGTCCACCGGCATGTCAAGACTTCAAACATTCTTTTGGATTCAGAGCGGGGAGCACGAATTGCAGATTTTGGACTTCTTACATCAAGTGAGAGGGATCTTGATCTTAGTGGGGACATGAAGAGTGATGTCTACAGCTTTGGCATTGTGTTAGTGGAGATTCTCAGTGGAAGGAAAGCTTTTGACAGAGATTATACACCTCCAAGTATAATTGACTGGGCACTGCCCTTAATTAAACAGGGTAAAGCAGCTGCCATAATTGATCGTTTTGTCACTCTTCCAAGGAATGTTGAGCCTTTGCTTAAATTGGCTGATGTAGCTGAGTTGGCTGTCAGAGAAGATCCTAGTGAGCGTCCTACAATGTCAGATTTGGTAAATTTGTTGCAGCAAATTGTGAAGGATGGACTGGTCTTGTGATCTTCAATTTGACTCCCTAAGTTTTGAGCAAATCCTATGAACAGATTAGCAAAACACTTGTGACAGCTTGTTAATTGAGTATAGCTATTTTGGCAACTGTAAATTAATGATCAACTTCTTGTACATGAGAATGAGATGCAATGCATTACTTAATATCCACAAAGTGAATAAGGTTCATTTTTTTTCAACTCTACATCTTGTTTCCTCAACATATAACAGATTTGGCCTTCCATTTAGCATTCGGCAACCACTCCTTCCTGTATTATGTTCAAGTTCCTAATCAGAGTACTTGATGATGAGTTTAGTACTGTTGAGGAGACATTTGTTTTTGGTGTGATCACATTTTTATCTCATCATTCTCAATTTCATTGAATGTCAACTTATCAGCCAACCACATATTTCATCCTTGACTACATAATGAATAACTGTCATCAAATTTGTGCTGTACATAATACATCTTTTGCTAGCAATGCTTTGAAATTTTCACAAGTTCATCTGTAAGCAGTGCAGCAGAACCAGTCCTATGCTGTGGGGAGGCCAAAAAATCTTATTATTTTATTGCTTTGTCTCTGATTAGCAACAGTAATAGATACGAATAGATTTTGCTCCATTCAGCTTTAACAGACTTACAAAATAGTTATGATCATTTTGCCTTTTCATGTCATCACTTTTGCCTAAGTTCTTTATCTCTATGATTTCCTCCTTCTACTTTACTGCTATTATGTTGGCACCATTAGAATAACTAGTAATTTCCGATGTCAGTCCACCCAAGTTGTTAATATAATAATATTTACATGTTTTAACTTTTGAATTAGAAGACCATGCCTGGGATAGCAAATTCCACCTATACATATTGACTGTCACAAACAGAGAAAGAGAAAGCAGAAAAACTAGCAGTACTGTAGATTTTCACTGGATTGCACTTCTTGACCTTTAGAAAACAAACTTGTACTACATATTTTGAGTCCAGCAACATTTCTTCTTTATCTCCTACTTGTAAGTAAACTTAGTGTTTTTTTTCTTTTTAAAATTTGCCCCTTCAGTTTTTTGGATGGGATTATATTTGTCATGCAGTGTGGAGTATTTTGAAGGTCCATTGCATAGGAGAAAAGATTTTTATGTTCTACCTTTTTATTGACTCTACCCTACTATGTATATTCTTCTACTCAATCACATTGCTTTAAGGGACCACCAAGGATTCAACTTAGATTTTCTTTATTTCCTCCCCCCAACCTTCCATGTCTCTCCCTCGATCACAGGCCTTTAATTTCATAGATGCCATCACTCATTACTTCTAAATGGTATAAGGGTTTCCCCTCTAATGTGTTCCCCTTTTTCCTTACTGCTTGCTGGTACAAGTATCTGGATTTTCTGGTTGACTATGATCATGAAACTTATCAGAAGCTGGAATTTCTGGATACACAACTGCTCTTGAATGATGAATGATTTGAACAAAAATAATAAAAAATCTGCATGAAACCTTTAGTAATAATTGCAATGCTTGCTTTCTCCTATGGGCTTTTACTGTTAATCATCCGCGAGTATATGATTAGCTAAGGCATTAATCATAATAATCTCCTATAAGCCTTTTTAGTAATCTTAATGAGGAATGCAGTTTATGACTGTAACTTCAGCATATGAAAGAGTTTTATTAGCCCCTAAACACACTTTCTTTCCAATCTGCCATTTTTTTTTACCTCTCTTTGAACTGTTTTTGCCATGGGATACACCTTTTTGGAGCATGAACAAAAGAAGCAATACTAATGAATTCACTATACCCACAGTCACAATGAATGGCTACAACCATCTAAACAGATATCACGATAATATGCATTTTTAGCTAGCTTCATTGAATCAAAACATTTAATCTGTGCATTTCGACTGTTATTATTCATATTCCAATCACTAATTTCTCAGAATTATGTCAATTATTTCACTTTTTCTTTCAAGTGGGAAGGACTAAAGCTTTGATCAACATCCTTCTGTTGACTTTTGCGTTTGCTTTCTACTTCTGTTCCTCTGGTTTTGTAGAGCTTTTTTAATGCTTTGTTTAAGTAGCTGTTTAGTTAATTAAATTAAAAGAATTTCCCAAGAGAGAGAGGAGACAAGGGAGGGGGGGGGGGGGGTCCGAATGAAAGAGGATGGGAGAGCATAGTCTGAGAAAGAGAGAGTCCAAGGTCAATCCAAACAGAAAAGGTGTTGCAACTCTTCCAAGTGCTAAAGATCTGTCTTCTGACAAAAAGAGAAGGATTCCCTCACTTGCAGTTTCTTCCAACCCCAAAAACGATAAAAATGTAGTAGTGCTTCCTGCTTTTCAAGTTTCAAGACACAACAGTTTAGTGCATCCCTTCTGTTATGTAGACTGTTCTCTTCTTCAATTAGGGAAAAGGAAAATGGAAATTTTGCAGCCTTTTGCGAAAATGTCACTAAGATACTCTCAGGTGAGCCTAAGAGAAAGCTTTTCTTTCCAAACCTCTTAGAAGATGGTAGCTATTCTTTGGCATATATTCGTAGTAGCAGCTAGCAGAGTAGCAGCTGGAGGTATTCGGTTCATCAATCATGGAATCAAATTGGAGATGTTAAGACCAAATTCCTTCGAAACTATTGTTTGGTCTTTGGCCCCACTGTGTACGTAATGGGTAGGGAATGCAAGGGAAAGCTGTAGAGAAGAAGATGGGACAAAGGTACATGAGAGGCATGAGAGAGAGGGGGAGATGTTCTTTCAACACCAGGTGTATAGGTATGGGAATCCAAGTCATCCAAGCACTTCCAGACAAATCAGTTTCAGAAGTGCAAAGAACCTTTGCTTTATGATCTAGAAAAGAGGAAAAAAGGATCCTAAAAACCAAACAAATAAAGGCTCGGTATCACTATTTTGCCTATCTCTTCTCTTTCTTTCTCTCCAACCTACAGCTTCCTTCTTACACTTTCTAGGTCACACAAAAACCTACCGCCTTCACTAAGTTTAGAGACAAAAGTAGGAAAAGAAGTGGCGTTTCAGGTGGAATGATGCCTTGAGCTTGTATTAGCTGCATGCCAAATTGCCAACTCAAAAGCAAGGGAAGATATGTTTCCGGGGAAAATAAAGGAGAAAAAGGGTGGTATGGGAGCATATATTGTCACCTTTAAGCCAGGTTAATTATGACTGATTAGAAGTTTATCCAAGAAATCTCCCTCTTTTCTCTTTCTGTTGACAAGATGACTCTTTTTTTTTTTCAGTATATATACAACTCCTTGCCTTCTTTCTCTGATGCATCTTCTTAACCTTAATAGTTTTTCTTCATTTTTTCTTAACTGCTCTCAAGTATATATATGTATGTATACTCATGCTTGAGCATCAACCTGCCAGCTGTGGTGCTTCGTCACTGTCATAGTCACCATTGTGCAGGCAGCACGTCATTTGGTTTTGGACCTTAAGAGTAACAGGAAATATTTTTTAAGTACCCAATATATAAACATATATTTATGCATCTACTTATTTGCATATTCATATCATCGTGCTTGCATATATTAACTGTTAAATGCACATTTTGTATGCCTGGCTCCCTGTATGCCATTTGCAAAGCCCATCAAGAGTCCGGTGGCCTTCGTGGATGGCATGCGAGGAGCCATGCATGCATTCTGCTGTCTTAACGGAGGGTGTGCTTCAATCTATGGTCAACCTAATGTCTGACAGAAGTTGGGATTTCCATAACAAAATAAGCGTTTTAGTCATAAACTCTGAAAACTTTGCAGGACCCAAGGTCACAGGTAAGATCTTCCAAGAACTCTTGGATTAGTTCTTTCTTTTTGGCTTCTGACCGGTTCTTTTCTCATCTTATGCTTCGGGAGGGAGAACTCTGATGCCTGGGCTGCAATTTCTGTTCCTCATTTCTAAGGTATGAAAATTACGAAACGAGTCACAATCCTGCACAGGAATAGCCACTGACTTAATTGGCTCTCTGGTTTTGCAAAATTTGTTTGTGGTATCTTTGCTGGTTGAGAATCTGGTAGTTAATTATATCGCAAAATAGCAAGGTAATTATATAGGAACAGGCACAAGAAAGTTATAACTAGCGAAGAATTCAAACTAAGAAACTACAATACGCGTTTTTTGTATATGGTGTGGAAACGGATATATTTCTATTTCTTTTCTTTGTACAGTATCGTCAGAACTGTATCGGAACTGTTTCAATAGTATACCAAACAATCAGTAGTTTCCCTACAGGAACAAAGAAAATACAAAGGTTCTCCCCAACCCCAAACGAACGAGAGCCAGCAAGTCAAGAATATGAACTAAGGGGGCTGCGCGAGCTTTCCATGCTTGAGGCTTTAGAGGAAATGCTGGGAAATGTGGTCTTCTGTCCTAACTTGATATTCATCAGATCATCAACAAGACCAGGCTGTGAAATTTGAACTCCTTCGATGTCGATGTCATTTGTCAACATTCTCACGGCTCTTGACATTTCTGGTCGGAGCTTGGCTGTTTCTTGAACGCAAAGGAGGCCCACTTTGACGAACCGAACCGCTTCTTCTTCAGGGTAGTTCATACCTACTATAGGATCTACCAATTGCAGAATGCTGTTAGTCCTGAAGGCTTCCCATGCCTGCACGTTTACACACATAAAGTCAACATGTCAGTAAAGTTATTCTCAGATAATATATGTATCTATGCTGAAAATGAATGAAATCTCTAGGTTTCGTGCATCAATGTTGGATTCACCGGTTACTTCCAACATCATTACCTTCTGAACCAAGTAACGTTCACCATGCTCTGAATCATAATTGACAACAGTCTGCCCGCTGATAATTTCCAAAAGTAGTACCCCAAAACTATAAACATCTGTTTTTCGTGTCAAACGTCCGCTGATGGCATATTCTGGAGCAAGATAGCCTCTATCTCATTTGCGATTGCAAGAAATCCCATTAGCCATGGTACTTCAAGGAGCATAAATATCCAACCATATAAGAGAGATTTATCAATTTTATGGGAAGAAACCAGCAATTTTCACTTACAATGTGCCCGCGACATGAGTACTAATGTGAGTAACATTATCTCTTAGAATTCTCGAAAGTCCGAAATCTGAAACTTTTGGTATCAAATTCTGATCCAGAAGTATGTTGCTAGCCTTAATATCTCTGTGCACAATGTGTGGCTCAACTTCCTCGTGAAGATAGGCAAGCCCTCGAGCAACTCCTAATG